GGCCCGGCGGGCCGAGAGGTGATGCTCCGGCGCAGTTATGTAAGGGCGCTGACGGCGCTCGTTGGTTTTTCACGGGAGCTAAAAGAGCTCTCCCTCCCATTTTCCCTCACTGCTGAGGGCAGCAGAGGGGCAGAGATGGGGAGAATAGGTTTGTCAAAACTTCTGTTCACGGCAGGGTTTTTGGTGTGTGGGAATCCGTCAGCACTGTTTCAGGGAGGAGGATGCAGGGGTGAGGCTTTGTAGAGGGGTGTGTTGATTGCCTGGTGTGGTCTGACTGTGAATGATGTGTTAGTGTAGCTTTCACTGGGAGGTTTGGGGAATTATCCCTCAGAGAGGCAGCAGGGGCTGCTGAAAGAGAGTTGTAAAATGTTGAAAAAGAGGTCAGTTCCCCCCTCCTTTAAAAGGGTGTAACCTCATGCTGTGACATCATGGCTTAGCACGCTCTCCTGAAATAAAAACAGCAGGGGTTGCCGTGGAGGAGAGACCTTTCTGCTCAGCCTCACACCAGCCTTGGCATCCGTCCCCACAGCATTTGAAGATGCAGAGGGCGTCACATCCCACTCAGGTTTTTGTTCTTTGGAGTGAAATGACACCAGTCACTGGCTGTGGCTGTTGCTACGAGGGGCTGTCAGGTCCATCAGGGTGTCACGGGACACAGCTGGGATTTGGGGATGCTGCCCTGGGGTCTTGCATTTGGCCTGTGTTACAGAGAACCTGAGCTCAGCTCTTCTGCCATTCAGCTACATGCCTGCACCATCACATCACTGGTTCACGAAGGAAATGCGTAGTCTCATTTCTCATGGTGTTATCAATCACGGTATTGTTGCACTGTGGCATCCCCTTAGCATGTATTTCTTGTCTGTTTTTCTCTTCCTCTGCAAGCTATGACACTGAAAGCTTCACAGCTCATACAGCTTCTGGCTGTGGCCCCCAGAGTCCAGGCTTGCCTGATCTCCGGCCTGTGGTTCGGGATAAGGCTGGGTAGCTGTGCCTTCCTCCTTGTCTGTGTAAATAAGTGCTGGGTCATGGCAGGAGGGTGTGTGGCTCAGGGAGATACACTGTCTTTGGTGCAGACCTTGAGTATGTGTGGCAGGAGTACTTTCTGTACAAACAATTAAATCGGTGCTGATTTTATGGTCAGATTAGGGTTTAAATGCATTTTGATTGCATTTCCTTTGCGAACAGCATTATTCCTCACTTCTTGGTTCAAAGTCCCTGGTGTATGGGGCACTTGCATACATACACTTCACATGGGGTTTTATTGTGGCATTGGTCCTGTAAGACACAGTGCCAGCTGGGAGAGGAGTTGCTCTCAAGCCTTCCAGAGCAGCTGAGGAGACACACGGAGTCTTGGCACAGAGCTGGACTGGGGTTTAAAATGAGATGGCTTTTCCAGTTTTACTGAGGACAAAAAACATGGGCAGGGCTTTATTTTCTTAGTCCTGCTAAGCTGCAAGCAAAGGTGTTCCCAAAAGTGTGGCTTGGGTCTGAGCCATTTGCAGAAACAAATTTCCAAGGCAGGTAGTGAAGCAAGGCAAGAATAGACTGGTAGCTGAGGGAAAAGGGGTGGGATGTGTGTTTGACAAGAAACCCCCAAGGCCAAGTTGTATTTTTCAGGCATCAAAGCTTTTCTCAATCTTCCTAATGTTGAAGGTGATTGTAATAGTATGGAAAGCAATATTGTAGGAAAACTAGAACCACCTGCTTTTCCAGGGAGGTAAAGAAAGTTCCTGTCATTGAAAGCTACAAGGGAGAAGTCAGTAACTTTTAATTTGATGTTTTGTCTTGATGAGGAAGATACCATCTGCTCCCAACCAAGTTCTGCCTGTCCTGACCCTCGCGCTGTGACAGCTTTGGAATGGGATAAGGAAAATGGTCCATTACACAGAAATAAGAGCATCTCAGCCTGGGTTGTAGACATGGGACTGCTGTGGCAAGTCCTTTGCAATGAAGGGCTTTAAATACAAGGCACTTATGACACTCACATCACCCCAGCCTGGATAGGGTGCCAGAAGGGGGATTTTTAGCCCCAGCTGTTCAGCTGATGGACAGTCAGAAGAAGTGGGGCAGGGGCTGGAGGTGGTGGTACAAAGCTGTGGACATACGGTTTTGTGTGGAAAAGGGGAGGTAGCGTGATATGGGATTGGATTGTGCTTTGGGAAGGCAGTAGGATGGGGTGGGTTCACATGAGTCCTAACACTTGCATGTTTTCAATGGTTTTGAGTCAGAAGACAGGGCAAGCAGCACGTGAGTGTTGTCAACTTGGCCAGAGCCCTGGAGCCAAGCTGGGACTGTACACTCTCCTTGCAATTACAGAGAGGTATAGCCCCACGTCAGGTCAGTCTTTCACTCCATGGTGGTGTGTATCTCTCTCCCCAGATTGATAAGTACCTTTACGCCATGCGACTCTCTGACGAAACGCTGATAGATGTTATGGCTCGCTTCAGGAGGGAGATGAAGAATGGCCTCTCCCGGGACTTTAACCCAACAGCTGCAGTAAAGATGCTTCCTACATTTGTGAGGTCCATTCCTGATGGTTCAGGTAAGGAGCTGAGTGTTTGTTTTCCCTATTAAACATGGTGTTCTTTGTGGAAACCTGTTAGAAATACACCAGTGTGGTACCGAGAGCGAGAGATTTGCTTCCTGGCAAGCACCGGCCACGTTCCGAATACGACCTCCCCTCTGTGTACAGGTCTGTTTCCACACATGCTGAGGGTTTTGTGATTTCTGTGTCAAAGCCATTCTGATGCCAATGGGAGAGCCCTTCTTAACAGTCAGCCCACTGTCAGTCAGTACATTTACTCTTGAGATTAGTCTGCCAGCAATCAGTACTTCACATAGGATGATTTTGGATTTATGCAGTTCACACTCATGATCCAGAGTCTTACAAATACAGTGGTTTGTAATCATTTGCGGTTCACTTAGCATCACTTCTCCTCCTTATTTTTTCCCCAGTGGAAATGTAAACCATTGCAGGCTGAAGTTGAGTTTCCTGGCAATCATTTTGCATTTTGTAGTTACCTCTTGTAGACTGTCTTAGGGGAAAAGTCACAGAACTTGGAGGCTGCAGTTTGTGGCTCCAAAGCTGCTGCTCTGGTGTACTGAGCTGTTTGCATCCAGATGTATGAGTTGGTATTTCTGTGCTCACTGAACCTGATAAAAGTGGCACAAAAAGCTATCAGAAACCAGAAAGATGTTGTGTTGGTAGCTGAGACCAAGATTGCCTTTGTTACTTATTGCTTATAAATTACTTAGTAATAAATACGATATATAGAGTATATATTTATAAACATTATATAATAGTGTGTATTATTTAGTAGTAATGTTGGATTTCCTTCTCATGTAGCATGAGTTGGTTAAATAGTTTGGTACCTACCACAAATTATGGTCCTATGCAGAAATCACACAGTTGCAAGAACTGCCTAACAGAGTTACCTGTTTTATAAATTACTTAGTAATAAATACGATATATAGAGTATATATTTATAAACATTATATAATAGTGTGTATTATTTAGTAGTAATGTTGGATTTCCTTCTCATGTAGCATGAGTTGGTTAAATAGTTTGGTACCTACCACAAATTATGGTCCTATGCAGAAATCACACAGTTGCAAGAACTGCCTAACAGAGTTACCTGTTTCGAGGCTTTTTTTTTTTTTTA